GTGGTAATGCAACAGGCTGGTTAGTTAGACTTAGGAATAGCTTGTCTTCAGATGTGGTAATGCAACAGGCTGGTTAGTTAGCCTTAGGAATAGCTTGTCTTCAGATGTGGTAATGCAACAGGCTGGTTAGTTAGCCTTAGGAATAGCTTGTCTTCAGATGTGGTAATGCAACAGTTCAAGAGTAGGCTTGATGAATACTTAAAAAGTCAGGGTTGGATATAGGCACATTGGTGTGATGAAATGAATGGGACAGCCACGATGTGTCAAGAGGCCCCTTGTTGTCCCTCGAATGTTAATTTAAGCTTTCTTTAAATGCCAGATTTATCTATTTCACTATATCACGAAACTTTGTGTATTACCATAATATACACAGTACTTTCATCAATTAAGGTTTATACTGGCTTTCAAAGATTATTGTAAAATTTTTAAAGTAATTAAATATTCACTCACACAAGTTTTTATTGGCTATATATAGTAAAACTTACATTTTATTCACCAGGTTAGCGTATCCTACCTGATAATACCGGGTAAAACATTGTGTACAACCGATAAAAAACTTGTGTGGATTTTTAAAACAGTTCTTTCTAATATTTAATAAATATTCACTTATGTGCAGTTTTTAATAACTGCCACAGTCTTTTGTCATTTTTAAAGTAAATATTCACTGTTAAACAGAAATAACTTTTCATTTACTTGTGATTCCAGTGGCAATAGTTTGAAAACTTTACTAAACGCAATAGTTTGAAAACTTCACTAAACACAATAGTTTGAAAACTTCACTAAACGCAATAGTTTGAAAACTTCACTAAACACAATAGTTTGAAAACTTCACTAAACGCAATAGTTTGAAAACTTCACTAAACGCAATAGTTTGAAAACTTTACTAAACGCAATAGTTTGAAAACTTCACTAAACGTGCGTAAATCAAATATCAATTAGAAGAATGGTTAACAATTCTGTAAGAATTTAAAAATTGGTTAATATTTTGGCTCAATCAGTCTTTTTTTTTAAGTGTTTTTTTTTCATCCCTTTTACAAATGTTTTGATTTTGAACGTATTTCTAATATATGTGCCTGTGTAATATCAAGTTTTTATTTTATGAACAGTTGGTTTTTAGACTTTTTTTTTTAATGTTGCTGAATTTTCAAATATTCTGTATTTGTTAACAAGCATGAAAAATTCTTCATTGTTTTTAATATCTTGGTCACTCCCCATCCAACAGATGCTAAAGGTCTGAGTGATGTTCAGAGAATCAAATTGCTTCGCTACCAAGTTCAGACCAGCTTAGAAGACTATATAAATGACAGACAGTATGATTCTAGAGGGCGCTTTGGGGAGATCCTGTTGACACTCCCTCCACTCCAAAGTATCACGTGGCAGATGATTGAACAAATTCAAATTGCAAAGATTTTGGGAATGGCTAAAATTGACAATCTTCTGCAGGAAATGTTGTTAGGAGGTATGACACCCCAGATGATATATTCTTCTGGTACGGGTAACACAGGTTTTGCTGTAGTTGTTCTATAGAATCACCCCCCCCCCCTCTTTTTGTTTGTCTATGTTTCAAATATCATAAATTCTGTGTAGTTGAGAAAAAATGAACATTATCTTATGTTTGTTTTGGTTATTATTTACAGAATTAAAATACATTCTTTTTGATATATTTAGTCTGTATTTTTTAAATATTAGACTAATAACACTTGTCTCCATTTTATCATCATCAATAACAGTAGTTTCAAATCAAAGCAGATGAGTTATTTTGCTTTTGCTGCAATTTGTAAATTTAAAATAAACTTTAGAAAAACTAAGTGCTGATGATACTTAAAACACACGTTATAGAAAAAGCCAAACTTGTGCAGATTGTTTTTTTAATTTAGTAAGTTTGAAGAATAATTAAAAATACAGGTGATATCTTCAACTGTTATTGAAAGATCTCGGCATCAAGTCCAAAATGTTGTTGAACTCAATAAGCAATACGGGGTGACTTACATAATCTCAACCTTACATTTGTTATGAGTGTTAACTTCTAAACCACTTTAGAAACAGAATTACTGTTCGTTGACTTGTCTGTTGTTTTATTTGTAATAATGTGAAACATCCGTCAAATTATTAAAATAGTCTAACTGTTTGAGATTAAATTTTGGGCTTTACAAAACCATTTTTTTTTTTCCTACACAGCCAAAGATCTGAAAAACAATATTTATGAGATTGTAACAGCAAAGGTTCTGAAGAAAACCTTTGATATTTTCATAATTATTTTTATTTTGCTTTACAGACTCGTTCTCCCCAGAAAACCCCATGATGTCAACATTTGCCCCCTATCCTTACACAGTTAGGGCATTAAATAGACTTCCAGAGTTTACTGCAAGTGTGCCATCTAGTGGTAAGAGTTTACATTTTTAAAGAAAACTTTTGATTTTTTTTTTTACTTAAAAGACATAAAAAAATTCTCAATTCTGCACCGTGATTTCTGAAAAATTAACAAAATTCATGTTTCTATTTCTCAAGTAAAATATGCGAGTCATCCCTTAAATTTACAAGATGTTTGAACATTTAATCATAGCCTACACTTTTTATTGGTTTTCAATCATTCCACTTATGTGCTGTGTGTAACAACAGATGTGCTCCACGTGTGAAAACAAACCATTCAACCAGTATCGGGCTTCTCGGATCCACAAAAGTTCCATATGTTATTGTTTAATAAGTACAGAAGACTGATGTCAGACAGCACTCGGCATCACTTGGAGCATGACACTTTTGTTACATCCAGTACGATGTTTTGTAAGAATCCTAGTAAAAGTGAGACAGATAACAACTAGTTGTATGTTTAAAAGGTCACTAGATGGCATGCTTGTAGCCAGTAGTTTGGGTTGTTAAAGTTAAATGAACTTTTAAAGATGTTGAATGTACTAGGTTATTGTTCCGATTCATATTGAAAACAATTTACAATCTCTGGATATAAAATATGTTTATGAATATTTCTTAAATTTACAAATTCAAGTTCCTAAGCATATGATATGCTCCTAATTATGTAGGTGAACAAGGACCTCCCATGGGCCCACCTCCATCAGGCCCTCTTCTACAGTCAACCTCTCTACACCATTCAGTACTGCAACATCCCATTGCACACGTGAACAACGGCCACAGTGATCACCTCTCCAATGGTCATCCTGACACTCCTATCCCGTCACCTCCGGATACTTATAAAGTCCAGTCACTCGGCAGCCAGCCCTTAAAGAGGGAAATGATTGACTCTGACCCAGCCTACTAGCCTCATCGCCGAGTGGACAAAAGATGAACAACATGTAGTTAAAGCTGCATCGTTCATCGGTGTAATGTCCAGTGATCATTAGTTAGCAGAAGACGGCCCTCATAGATAGGGACTTACCATAGTTGTTGAAATCGTTATGGATTCAGAGTGATGTAATTAATGGGAAAGACAAGGTCGTATACTGGAGAGTTATTTTTATGTTTTTCACAAGTGTGGAAACAGAAAAGTTTTAACGTAGTGCCACACTTAGCATTTTTCTTTTAGCAAATGCTACAGAGTAATCTTTAATGCTTGGGAACATTTGGATGTTACCAGAAACTGGCTGTTGTGCAGCAGTTACAATAAGATGTCACAGCAGCTACAGTCTGATGCCTCATCTGGCATTCAAAGCTGTGATGTGGATAGTTAAGTTCAACTGCTGGCAGTTATTGAAACAGGTGTATATCTTAGGTTAGTAAGAAAAACCCAGTTCGTATAATAGAAGAATCCTTGGCATAAAGTACTTCGTGAAACTGTAAGAATTAGGAAAAGATTTTCATTTATTAGGTTGTTGGTAAACCAGCCACGTGCCAGTATCCAGCAAATATTAAACATAGTGTTAACAGTGTTGGAAACAATGATTCTAGTATCTCCAAGTAAATTACTGGGTTGATTTTAGGGTATGGTCCACCTCTGGCAGTTGAATGAGAGTGTGTTTGTGTTGTATACAGTGTATGGCTTTCAAAAATTCTGAGCACGTTTAAAGCAGCCGTGATAAAGGGTTAAAAGAACTGTAGAAATGAATTTAGTAATAAGTGATTGAAACCACAACACGTTCCCATGCACATCAGGGACGAGTAATACTAATGTAACACTGTTAAACGTGGTTGTTAAATCTGTTTATATAATTGCCAGTGCATGAATTCATTGTAACATATCAAGCAGGCTATTAGTAAAAGTTATACACAGGCCTATTAATGACTAATATCTTGAAATATATAAGCGCGTTACATGCATTTCTAAAGAACAAGGTTACAGCCATTTATATATTAACTTCACATCAGAACAAGCTGTCTACTTAAAAATAAACTTCAACATGGTAATTAGTTTAGCTAATTAAATACACTGTTATTACTTCTATATTGTTAGTTTAATAAAGAAATCAGAATTTCTTGAGACAGAGGGTTGTTAAAAGTGTTTTTAGTGCTACTACACTTGTCCTTAAAATACTTACATCATAAAAAAATAGTCCATTATTTGAACCAGTTTAAACACACCCTACGTCGTTTAGTGATAGAAATATATACACAAAATAATGGATTTGTTTCCTGACATGTTAAACAAAGTAATTGATACATTTAATGACCACAATCTCAACCTACCATACATATTAACGTTCTTTTACTGTTAAATTGTCAGTAGAGAACAAT